ACACGCCAACACGCGCAGACACACACCCCCACACCTGCACACCTGCACACCGCACACCTGCACCCGCACTCGCACCCGGAGACACACACACACACACACACACACACACACACACACACACACACACACACACACACACATGATGGTCCACATAAATTAGATCGAGGAAATGGATACGGACAGGTTAATTGTGTCCTTCGGGACATCTCTTAAAAGTTAAAAGTTAAAACTGGAACGATGCAGAGAAGATTACCATGGGCCCTGCGCGAGGATGACACACATGACGGTCCAAATTCTGATTTAAAAAAAGGGATAGCTGCGCAGGGGCACTCTTCAAATTGGGAGCTCTAAGACAGCTGATGCCAAACAATTCAAACAGTAGACAGTACTAGACACCGAGCAAACCCACAAGTGTGTCATCTCAGGCGGGGGCACTATTCAAACCAAGTCTTGGTCAGTACCCCTTCTCCAGGCCATCCTGCATCTTTCTTCCTCTGTTACACAGGCTGGGGAAAAAAAGGATCAGTGAGCATGTGAATTTCTGTAGAGTATACTGTGCTGATTTGTGAAACCTTAAACCATCACCAGTATTTGGTGGTGCAGTATACTATACAGCAGTTCTGCGCAGCAAGTTTCAGCGGTCCGGGTCACGACATCACTCGGCAAGACGTCGATGAAATTCATCAATGGTGGCTCCAGACCCCCGGAGGTTGCCGTGCGTACACGGCCCAGCTTGAAAAAAAAAAATAGCTGGGGCCAAGTGCGGGGGGTTTAATTAAACTTTAATACACTTTGCCTATTTTAGTATTTTCAAGGGGGGTTAAAATTTAAATACAGTTGCCTACTTTTTTTCAAATTTGGCTACCAGATGAAAGGCCCTTTCTTTTTTTTTTTTTTTTAACCAGGATTTCTTAGACCATTTCCTTTTTACTTTGAAAAAAAAATGCGGTCCGATGGGCAACACGGATTAGATGTTAAACTTAGGGCATACTCACACTAGAACTGTTTTTTTTTTTTACTTATTTCTGGACGGAATTGCGGCCAGGTGCATAAATGCCCAGGGGTAAATGGGATCAGATCCACTGAAAATAATATTGCCAGTGTTTGTACGCACGCCCTTATCAGAACAGAATCAGCAGATACTACACTTTATCTTAGCCAAAAGGCCAAGAAAATATAGGAAGTGTCGATACAACTCTTCGGGGATTGGGCGGGTCCATGGGCCCGCAGTAGGCAGCAGATATCTCACCTCTTTTTTTTTCTTTTTTTTTTTTGGGGGGGGGGCACTAAATCACCAGTCCCCCTAAGCCCTTTTTTCCCGACCCGGATTGCTGCTGCGTGCCAAAGAAAAAGAACCAGTGCGAGCACGGACTATATTCTTTTCGCCTGGTGCTGCCAACCATTTCGGTCCCGTAGGCCAAGCCCCTGTTAATTTGGAGGGTTAACCAACTCGTTGAATCGAAATAGCTGGGAAAGGGCCCGGGCGTGGCTGCCTACCATTATGGCGAGCAGCAATCCGGTTCACCTTCCAGGGGCAAGTTAGAAAATACATCAAAGCACTCTATAGGCTCTCTCTCTCTCGTTATGGCCAGACACGGTGACACCCACCTGCGGCATTGATACCTCCCCCATCGAGGGAGGATCGACTGCTGGGTACACCCATTCTCCCATTCAGTCCCCTTCCCTTCTACCGTAGGCATCTAACCCTCCAAAAAAACAGGACCAGGACTTCTTCCTTCTTTGCCTATAACTAGGCTCTCTCAGATAAACGTTTCTGCATTGACACCACAATGGATGGCACAATCGCACACAAGTCTCACACCAAAGCGGACACACATGAACCTTGCATGAGATGCAAATTCAAAAAGTAGTCTCTGTAACTGAATTGTCTTCTTAGTCGCCGGCGTCTCTCTCTCTCTCTCTCTCTCTCTCTCTCTCTCTCTCTCTCTCTCTCTCTCTCTCTCTCTCTC